TTTCTCAGCACCGAATATGGTAACGGGAGATCATAGCGCTAGTTGGTGCATTGAGGGCCTGAGAATCGTAACTCGAACAGTCGCGGCTCGCGCGATTGTCACTTCTTGCGGCTTCTTGAGCCTCAAAAATATTACCGCGCACCTGTAATGAGTCGCAGCCTGAGAGCTAGTGTCTTTCCGCCTCACTGCTACTGCGTGTTCAGTCAGTCGTGGCCGGGGTAACCTCCCAGTTTCTCAGACGGTTAGATTTGGTCTTTGGTATCGTTTGCGTATGCACTGATTGACAAATCTGCGCGGGTAGCCATTAGTTCTCAGTACCCGTCTAGATAGTGTAATTCAGCGACATTGTCCTCCATTTCGCTGCAATGCATCTCAACGCTCCGGTATAGCACCTTTACACACCCGCGTTCTTGACTGATCAGGTGGTAGCTGTTGACGTTTAGTACTTGAGTCGTATTTCCTGTTATCCTGAATACTTTAGTTTTTGGACCATCACAATCTTTATGGCAAACTAGGACATCCAAACAGGCCATCTGGTTGTTTTCTTCCTCCTTCATCGTAAACCGAATGTCGGGGAAGACGGCTTTGAGATGTTGGTTGAAGTCCAGCACCTGATGCCGTTCGATGACGACGGTGTCCTCCACATATGAACCCCAGAATTTCGGTCTGTGGTGTTGGAAAACCAGCGACCCCAACCGTTGTAGGATCGTCTCGACTGAGCACTGAAATCGGCGAACCCATTGGGGTGCCCCCCAACAGTCTCCAGTCGGGCCAATAAACCTCTTCTGAGCTGCCTCCTGGAGGTCGCCTGTTCGGAAATGGATAACTTCCAGGGAGGAGGGTACCTACCGTCGTGTCCTAACTTAAACCCTCCAACCGACATCCACAACCCCAACCTTCCTAATCATAACTCGTTTTGAAAGTGTATATTTAGATTTCGAAAAAGTCTCCCGATTCCCGAATAATTTTGAGCTTTATCTGTCGCTGCATTAGCGTTTAGCGATTTCAGACTACAAGGTGCATGCTTTACGCGTAAGGAAAACCATATATTCCACTATGCCTTTAAGAAGATAGCATACAGAGTTCATAAAATTTTGCAGTGAATGCGGAATATGCTCTACATTTCATGAAGAGCATTGGTAAACGGACATTTTTCTCAGTGATTTTCGATGCCCCTAAAAGTCCAATTATATTTTATGCGAAACTTGCATAAAAATATTGATTATTTTGCTCATTCGATAGATAAGTACGTCCTCTTCTAATTTTATACTCGAAGGAAGGGTATAATTCGGTTTTTAAAAAAGTTCCAATTCCCGAATAATTCTGGACCCGCTCTACCAACACATTTGGATTCAGGGTTTCCAAACTATGAGCCGTATATTTTCCGCGTATGAAGAACCACACATTTCTCTACGGTAAAAAGGAGGGACCACATAGGGTTCATAAAATTTAGCAGTGGATTTGATCCATAAAGTTAACTTTACAAGCCACATTGGTAAATGCGGAGATATGACGATTTAAGAACGGCCATGTCATGGTATTTAAAAGTCCCACAATTAGAAAGTTTTTAAAACCGAATTACGTCCCTCCTTCGACAATAACATTGGAAGAAGACGTCATTTTTCTACTGAATGAGCAAGAGAGTTAATATTTTTATGCGTGTTTTACATGAAATATATTTGACTTTATAAGGCCATCGAATATCAATGAGAAAAAGTCATGCTACTTAAGTAGTCGCTTTTTACAGAGTGTAGTTTTTGCATGCGGCCGGAAGGAAGTTCATTCGAAAGCCGGCATCCTGACGTAACTGAATTATAGAATTATGCTGCAGACTGACTAGTTCTACAACCCTACTTTTTTATCTTTTCGAAACGAAAACGCATTTCGGAATTTCGGTTGACATTTCATGAGTTAGCCCACCTTCTGTAGCTTCCTCGGCGAGGCGAATCTTCTAAATCTCCCTCCCGAGTGTCAGAATCTGGCTCACAGCTTCCCATCTCCTGTAATAAAGCTGTAGGTTGAACCAAAAACGTCGAACACGCTCCCCGCATTATTCCATAATTTTCACACACGCTAAGCACTGAAGACGTCATCTGGAGCGCACGATCTGCCACCGGTAGGAAAATCGTGAAGGACGTGCGAGACTTTTTGAACCACGCCCTCAACTGAATTACGAGTAACTGATCTGCCGCCCGGATGCCTGGAAGTGAAATTTGGTGCGACCTCACCAGCGCTCCGGCCCTATTCCCTGCAAACTGCCAATTCGATCTGCTCACCGGAAGTTAAGTTCCTCGGTTTTTGGCCCCACCGACATTATCGCGCGTGTGCTGTTGTGAGTCATCATCATCTCAGAGGGCTAAGCGACTGGCTGAGAGCATAGACCCGACGACAAAGGTTGCCCCATTATCGACCCACCTGGCAACGATTCAGAGCCTCACTTGAGCAGGAGGGGGGGGGGGACGATTGTCTGGGCGACAGACAGTCAATAGGATTAAAACGCCCGCATGAGGACTCAGCTCTTGAGTCAAATAAAAGTGGGACCTACTGAATAGGCGAACAACTCTACTGCGACAGTTGCTACACCAACGCAGGCTTCTCTGTCCCGTGCAAGCGGCCTATTTAGACCTACCGCTGACTAAGCGTACACGAGAAGGGGGAGCAACTGCTGTTCTGCGTCTCCCCGCATGTTCAGCTCCGACCATAGTTGCTGAGGTTGTCCATCGTGTGCTCCACAGCAGGGTAAAACAATGACGGTAACTTGCTCAGCATCTACCGCACTCTCTCCTTCCCCCACCTGGGCCCCGTGTCAAGAACATCAGAATTGGGAGAGGCCGCAAGTGACTGAAACAGCAAAACTCACGCCTAGGCGTATCACCACACCCTTCGGTTCACAACAGACACTGAGCATGACTTCAACCCACGACGGAAGTAGTGGGGTGGCACGGATCCTAATTGGCGCGGAGCAAGCCTGCAACTTGGCGCGTCACCACACTCAAATGTTGGCACATGTTGTGGATGCGCATTACCGATAGCGCATGCGAACTCCGATCTAATCCCCGAGTTGGTTCAACGAATCTACCGTGTGGACCGCTTTAGGGGCCATGGCCCACACGCATGTCGATCTATAAACGGGTATACATCGAGTCCTCGATCAAGATTTTGATATAACATTGACGGGGACTGGACTGCATAGCAGGCTGGAGCGAGCTTCTGCATGGTTTTTCGAATCCGTCGACCTCGGTTCCGGCGGAGTTACGATTTGACTGCAATCGAGCTAATAAGTGTCAGTTGCCGAGGCCGCAGCCGTCGTCTACAGAAGCTACTGAAATGATGGCAACAGCGTCTGCGTGGATGCAAACCACAGGACCGCTTGTGCTAACCAACTGCCGCGACGGGTTGTTAGGCTTTGAATGCACTTCGTCACTGCAAAATCCGCGCTGGTCAAACAATGTCTGCTTAAGTACTGTGCGCTCTTTCTATTGATTTGCAACACCCCTGCAGATTCAGATAAACTTTGTTGGAAGCACGCACAGAATATCCTTTCATGTAGTTATTTGGCAGCAAGTGGCGTTTTCCCGAGTTTTATATTCGAAGAAAGGGCATCTTTCGGTTTTTGGCAGGTTCTAATTATGACATTTCTTAAGACGGTGAAACGCATCATGTATGTACGTTTGCCAATGCTCCTTATGAAATATACGACATAGCCCGCACCTAGCGTCAAGTTGTAGGAGCCCTGTAGGTCATAGAGGAATGTGAATTTCCCTACACGGAAAGTATACGGCTCGTGGAGTGAAAACCCGAAACGCAAATGCAACGGCTGATAAAGTCCAAAATCATTCGGGGATTGGAAGACTTAAAACCGTGAGGCACCCTTTCGTGAAGTGTCAACTTTGAAAAAGATGCGATGTGCTACCACGCTAGTACAAGAAAGGATACCTTTGAACACACTTTACACAATATACATAGGTTTTCAGGGTCACCGAAAATCAGTAAAAAAAAAATGCGTACCGCTGAAGCAGTCACTTTTTTTAACCGAGTGTAGACTTGGCAGGCCAACATCCTGTCGCGTCAGAAATGTCACAAGGCTATGCCACACAATAGTCAGTGCTACAACCCCACTTAGGTAATCCTTCCTGATCGAAAACGTATTTCAGAATTTCTGCTTGTATTTCATGAGGTCGGTTACTAACCGTAAGCCGCGCCTAGACATCAGTCCTTCCTAACCTCAAAGCAGACTGCGCCGGCGAATCACACTAGTATGACACCACCACCGCCGTCAGGTGGCAATGGGCAACCGAGACAATAGGAAAAGACTCTGTCCAGAAACAAGGCTAACCAATTCCGGACGCTGTCAAATGTCTGTATGTTTTCGCTGTTCAGAATGGTCTTCGAGAATAGATCACGGATCCGGCACTTCCGCAGACGCCATCTACAGAATCTACTGCAATGATGGCAACAGCGTCAATGCGGGTGAAAACCACAGGAGCGCTTGAGCTGACCAACTGACAGAGCGGATACTGGGCCAAAACACTCAACATACACCGGCCACACCGTCAACATCCAAGGTGCGTGGAGACAGCCCCCAAGACCGGGGCGAACCAACCTATGGGAGTGAATCCGGCACTTCCAAGCACCGCCCCCACCCCATCTCAAGGATACCTAAAAAAGAACTATTCTATTTGGGACGCCCAATGTCCGAACCAAGTCCCGTTTTCCAAAAAAAGTAAGAATTAAAAGTTCAAACTTTAACGAAAAAAAACACAGAAATGGCAGGATGAGCGGTAAAACCAACAAACAAAGTAAAAATCAAAGAAAAACAAACACGGAAGAAAGAGCTGGTCAAGTGGACCGCAGATGAGCGCGCGGGCGCGCAATGAAAGTAACCAGGTAAGAGAATCACAGAGACGCATCGGTGTTGTTAAGCAGTCGGCTGAGTTGTATTCAGCGATATCACAGTCCTGGCGAAGTCAGGCAGTGCTCGAACAGCAAAGTCGACTATCACGATGTTCAGTCGTCGCGACTGTCGTCGTTGTTGCAGCCACTGCAGGGTACGGGCTCCCGCCGGTCCGGCCAGTGAGTCCAGACCCTTGGAGAGGTTTGCAAAGACGAAGGCTGCGTCTGGTGTGAGGATGTTTTGACTGACGTGGAATGTCTTCTCGTCAGTGCTGGGGAAGTGGGACGAAAAAAGGGAAACCCAAAACTTGTTTGAGGGAATGCTTCTGGGCGGACTGCGGGGAGGGAGGGGAGCTAGACTGGTCGGCATAACGGGCTGCAATGGAGATGTTCTGGACCAAAACAGATATTAGACTGTCTCGCGACGAGCGTTTCTAAGGCGGCATTGGGTCTGCGCTAGGTCATAACTGCTGCTGTACATGCGCATGTTTGCTGTGTGTGTGACACTCTCACTTCCGGTCTTCTTGACTATGTCTTGACACCGGGCCCAGGGGGGAAGGAGCGAATGAGATAGACGCTGCGCAAGTCTACTCTCACTATAAACTGATTCATGTGCCTACTCCACAACAAGGTGGAGCAGACACGGTGGACATAGTCGTGACAAGCCTTAGACGTAGGAATCCATACTGCATCAACCAATGCGCCCAATTCCCTCACCCGTTGGATTGGCTAGTTTGGACAATCAGCTGTGATGTCTGCTTTGCTTAGATAGGCGTGATGTTAGGTCCTCTGTGATGGTTAGGGGTAGAGCTCTCGGGCACTATAAAGAGGGGCTGCGAATGTTGGATTCGCATACCGAGGCAGCCCACGGGAAAGTGTGAAAGACCTGGCAGTGGAGAATTGTTCTGAGGCATAATCGGGGCTGGGCATCTGGGGCTGGTTTACTGCAACTAGGCTAAGAGGCGCAAGGGTTGGAGATTCAGCGGTAAGCACGGAGTCCTATCGCCTTGGCCCACAAAGGCCACCTCAGGAGTGCGTGAATGGGTGCAAGTTCTGGAAGATTAGACAACTGTTCCCTAGGTGGCCTTATCTGACGAAATTTAAGAATGACTACCAATCACTCGCAAACCCACACCATTTCATGAGTCCAATGTCTATGTTAATAAAGTATAAGTTTAAAAGAATTAAAGACATAAAAGAAATATTCAAGGAAACGCTGCGTTGTTTAGAAATGTCGATTTTTTAGAAAAGCGCAATATCCCAAAAACGTCAGAAATGGCTCTAATTTAATAAACTTCGTTTTTAGATGCATAGAATTGAAAATAAGTAAGATTCTTTGGGAAGGGAATAAACTTTAATGGGTAAATTTTCGAGTCTGGATCCCCAGCTCGTCGTCAGACTTTTGGGCAATGTAAAAAAACAGTTAACTATTTAATAATATTTAATTTAATTTAATTTAATATTTAATAATTAGTGTGACCTGATATATGACGGTTCGTCAACTGCCTACATTCTGAGTATAGATTCCAAAAGAGTTTTCGAGGGTTTTGTGTTCTCCTTGACTCTTTTGAGTTAAATGAGATGGGGTTCAACACGAGAAACTGAATGTTGCTTGATTTCATCGATGGGTACGTCGTGGGAACAAAAGTTTTCATAAGGTGACATGTCATGAGGCCGGTCGGTGCCTAATAAATCTAAATAGAACTAACAGGCATGATCGTAAACACACCATTTTGTGTTTGCAGAGAGAACTTTTCTTCCGTTAAATCAATTTACACTTTTCGTCCGTTTTGGATTACGCTGAGTTTCAGATCGGCCTCGAGATGCTGCTGAATACTTCATGATTTTCAATGTTTTCACCCGATCGTCCTTAAAGACAGATTCTGAATTACCTGTCTGTTGAGAACTTTAAAATGAGATTATCCTTGAAGGCATGTACCGAATTAGTGAGTGTTCGGGCGCTCCTTTTCACGAAGAAGGTCGTTTGGGTCACCTGTGAAGACTCATTCAAACATCAAACTTCATTTTCGGAGAAAATGGCTGTCCGCAACGTTAAAGACGTCCAGAAATTCTCGCAGCAGTTTCCATTATCAGATTTCATGAGACAGGTCACGTAGTGTACACTGGGGCCAAGTCAAGTGCAGTTCAGGATCCGTGCCTACAGTGGTCGAAGGTCGATTAACGCTGCGACTCTACCCGCGCCCTTCCGCTCTCACCCCGCCCCTGACACTGACTGCTATTACCCCCCCCCTCCCCCCTCCTCCACATTCCCACACCCAGCCAGTATTTTAAGGCGAACTTTAATCGAATTATCTTATCACTGACGTGTTTTTTCTTCTACCCCGTTCCCATATAATTGTACTGGCTCGACGAGAATTTATCGACAGATACGCATGCTCACCACCTCGTCTTTTGAGTACCGCTATGGGAATTTTCGCAACTCCAAAACAGTCCAATAATCGGAATTCACGATTCACGAATTTACGACAGGAGCACAGCAGCGATTCGTGAATACAGTGAGGCATGACACAGATTTAGGACACAAGGACTAGATGAGAAAACAGGAGGGGGATAGGATGTTCTGGAAAGTCACTTTCTCGAGCAGGAGATCGTCGAATAGGGGGAGCGACTTCACTGGGTACAGCATACTTGCATGCACGTAACTTGGACAAATCAGGGTTCCATCTACTAGAAATATATGCTTACTTTGAAGCTCTGAGAGCTCGGGATTCTACCCGTCAAGAAAGTAATATCAGCGAGGCTGATAAGAGGCGACCTAGTGGTAGTACTCTCTGACAAAATGCTTCCTGGTCTCCATTCGCGAACACTTTCTCCACGAGGAGGTGAGATTAGCACAGTTGGGGAGGTAAAAGCACCAGCTAGCAGTTCTGCACTTCCTTCATCCAACTGGCGCCGGGATTAGCAACTAGGTACCTCGAGAGGCATATCGCCACAAGACTTTAGGCTGCACGCGAGTACAGGACATGACGGCGACGAAGGCTTAATGTGGCAATTAATGCCTAGAATATAAAACACACGCATCTAGGCGCACGAACGCACGCAGCACACAACAGAATTTGCACGCAGTTGTGGCGATATAGAGGCCGACGCTGAAGTCTCACCATTGATTGGCTGCAAAATTTGCACGCATCCACGCCTTCTCTGCCCCTACGTGCTTATGATCTAGTTGGCGCACGCGAACGCGCGTGACGTACTCAAGTGTGTCACGGGGCGCATCAGAGACAGACGTAAGCGCACGCCATACATACGAGCAGTTTAGGTGGGAGACGGGGGTCATATGTGGGCTACCCTGTTTGGCCCGAGAAACTGCGAGTACAGGTCTAGTTGTCACTTTTTAATTTCCGGAGAAATTTTGTGCGAAGTAGGAGTAGATCAGTATATTCAAGGTCTATAGGCACAGACCGAGAATTTTATACATGAATATTTGGGCCAAAGTCCATCAGCCACAGCGGGTAACCGCGTAATATTCATTAACTGCCTACAGGCAGCTAGTAGTATAATCTAGGGTAAGGTGACACCATACTAACAGCACAGGTACTAGGCTTTTGGCTAGTACCTGTGCTGTTAGTATGGTGTCACCTTACCCTAGATAGTACAGGTCTAGAATACAAGTGTTTAAACACACAAAATAAACACTACTACATAATAGATAGTAAGAATGTATTTAATTTAAAACCAGCTTCAAAAGGTTAGACGCAGCATAAACGGTGCAAACAGGTGGAGATCGACGCCGAAAGACTTACGGGCCATTCGCGTCTAGGAACTGAAAGAGCTTATCCACGTCGGTCGTGTTGGGCCAAGGAGATCGAATGCAACCAGCGGGCCACATATCAGGGAGACAGGGACCGCAGTGGAATATGCAGATAACCTGGTGACCCGCCGACCAGAGCTCGTTGAGAGAGGGTATGCTTCCCGTGTGGGGTGCTAGCATTCCTGGGAAAACCTAGGGGGCATAACGAAACGAGAATGATTTTTTAAGGAAGGGGAAAGAAGGGAGGGTGGGAAATATTTCAGGAGAGAGGCTAATTATTAGACAGCACAGTCCTGCCGGATGGAGGTTCCGAGTTTCACTTGATAACGAGGGCTTTCATCGGAAGTTTATTTAATCTTTCGGCCGTTCTAAGAAAGATATCGCATGAATTTAGTTTTCAGACTATACCACCGAGTATGACGGCTGTGATGACGTGAGAACAAGGTACGAATTGCGAAAAGGAAGAAATAAATTTGGTAAGTTACTAATCACCTCAACGATATATTCGCCTTCGTGAACTCAACAGCAATTAACAAAAATCGTCGATATGTTACAGTGAAAATGCGTTTCAGACTCATGCTAAGTGGCACCGTAACCGCGCTTGGGTAAGTGGTCGTGGGCGCCGGCTCAGAAAACACAAGGAAAAGAGTAGTCACCTGTTTTACTAGTGTTTGCAGCCTCAAGGCGGACTCGCGATCACAGCCGTAAATGTGGTTGAAATCGAGGATCACGACCTCCTTGGGGTTGTCGCGCAGGAAGGTGCGTACATTGAAGAGCTCACTGGTCACCTCACGGGCAAACTGGCCATGCACAAAGTAGAACATGCCGGGACAAATGGAGGCCCCATCGCCCCCCAAGCTTCTACCGCCGCCGCTTTCAGCGGCGCTGGTTTGCAGAACTCGCAGGTCAAAGTAGCGTAGGCCGGCGGTGAGCTGCTCGGTGAGATTCGCGTCCTGCGCACGAGCCCACTTGGAGGACAGTTTGCGGCCCAAGTCGCCCATGACTTTTAGGAGCTGGTAGGCGTCGCCATCGGGGGAAAGAAGGGAGGAGTCGCTGATGCAGTAAGAGCAGGAGTCGTGGCTGCCTAAGTTGTTATTTAAAAAGGGCAAACGTGATAAATTGGTTGAGAAAGGAAGCAGTAAAAGTGCACTGTGAAAACACTGCAGAATTGAGGCCTGTGACAAGAGCACAGCATTAATATTAATGAGTGGCAAAGCGACTACTACTACTGCTGCTACTACTGCTGCTGCTGCTGCTGCTGCTGCTGCTGCTGCTGCTGCTGCTGCTGCTACTACTACTACTACTACTACTACTACTACTACTACTACTACTACTACTACTACTACTACTACTACTACTACTACTACTACTACTACTACTACTACTACTACTACTACTACTACTACTACTACTACTACTACTACTACTACTACTACTACTACTACTACTACTACTACTACTACTACTACTACTACTACTACTACTACTGAAAGGTGAATAAAATACGAACCTGGAATGCTGAGGAGGGTGAGCGGACGCCTCACACACGATTCGTCCAGGTTTGCCATCCAATTTTGTAGCTCCTGAAGGTAAGTAGGGCAGTAAGGGGGGAAATGGCGCAGGTGTTGTATACTAAAAAGCCCTTTTTTGCACTAAACATCTAGATTATGCGTTACGTTACGGAAAGTGGCGGTTCCGCGCAGCCGTTCAGCTATCATCCAGCGCCCTCACAAGCGGTCGGATAGCTACAAGAAATCATCAGTGTGGGTAGAAGACCGACAGAAATGAGGGAGATTGGCATGGAGATTTTTACCATATCTGCTCTCGCATGAGGCGGCAAAAACGAAGCCTTTGATCTGGCAAAAGAGGCACTTAATCCTAATGCAGTGCATAACAAAACAACCCGTCTACGCGTGCCACACATGACCTGGTCCCTGCTTTAAATGCACTGGGCTTCTGTAGGGGCGGTCCGTAAAGACGAGATTGAGAGGGAGTCAATGCAGCCTGACTATCAGTCCTTACAAGGACCGAGCTATCCCCTCCAGGCCACAACTATCAGCGTGCCATGGTGGATTCGAGCGCATCCGATTTATTTTAGTGAGGCTGATTTGCCGTGAGCATGCATTCCTCCCCCTCCTCCTCATTGTCAGCTTCGCTCTCTCTTCACCCTCTTTGGTGCGCCCACCGAGTGCCGAAGCCTGAGAACCAGCTGGTGATGAGATTGGGCGCTGATACCGCCAAACAGCCAGTTTACGCGTGCCACGCACACGCCAAACTGACCGCTGTCGCAGGGAAAAAATGCAACTACGAAGTTGTCTTTTGATTTAGGTACGTTTGGCGGATGTCAAACTGATTGTGTCCGGAGGCATGCTACAACCGTACAGGGGCCGACCGGGGGTGCGGTGGTATGCCTCGGTGTACGTCTATGTCGTGCTATCCACCTGTGTCCTCTCCCGCCTCCGATCATCTTGACTTCGTCATGACACCGGATGCAGATGGGGGAGTGCAGCAGATGCTGCGCAAGTCCACTATCACTATAAACTAATTTACGAGCAAGTCACTGTCTTGTAGTGGACAGTCATAATGGCAGCGCCGCGCCTCTCGCTAGCGCCTGCACCTACGCCCTAGCGACAGCCTGCTATGACACGCACGTCTGCCCGGTTTCGATTTGTCTCGTTGCAATTCACTGTCTGCACCACGCATCTGGTCCATTCTCTGCCTGCACCACGCGAGGCTTGTCGCTACCTTCGCGTGGGCTCGGAGCCAATCAACGCAACTTCTATCGCTGATTGGTAAGACAGGCGGGAACAGTCCATAACAATAGAGTAAACAATCTGCAACGACACTTTTGCAGCGGCGACACAGGGCTCAACGCTCTCGCGGACGCCGCCTCCACGGCGCCGGGCGTACCCTCGTCCGATTGCCAGTCCTTATGTACAGAATAAAATCTTCTACCCAACTGGCGTCCCGCTTCTAACAACTTGAAATATGGCTTGAGGTAGTGGCGCACTAAGCATACACTATCACCGCTTGGCCGCCACAGTTTCTACTTTCACCTTGCTGTGGTGCACACGATGGACATTGTCGAAACCGGTCGAACTGTCAGAGGTCGATCGGTTTGTCCAGATTTTAGGACTGAACACGGGCATCCAGCTTTGTCAGGGGGTCCTGCCTGACGGAACCTCAGTGGCAAAAAAGAAGGCAAACATCTTGACCTAGTATAGACAGGATTACAAAGATCTTGTGGCGTTGATGGTGCAGATGTTTAATCAGGTCGTGCGAAATCCACTTATCAAACTTAGCCCCTTAGATACCATTTATGCGTTTGACAACCACGTGAAACGTCAGTCAAAAAAACAGCCCTCCCCCCACTCGAAGTATACGTCAATTACTGTTAAAGCTACCGTAAATATCCGTAGACCATAGAAAGCTTACCATCTCGCACGCAGTACTGAAGGATCTTGTGTTAATTCCAACAGCGACTGACGTTTGACCCTCGAGCAACGCCCTGTAAGGCAGATGAATGTGTGAAATAAAACGATAAGAAACAAACCAAATGGAGAAAGCTGGGGAGAGGTAGGTAACTGGATCAAAGCCGGTTTAAGACGACTGAAGAAGATCAAGGGATACTGGAGACATCGCAGACTACTGTGGGTGCTTTAGCCGTACTAACAAGAGTAAGATCAGAATGGTCCCCTTTTGAGTATATGCGGAGGAGTGTAAGTGCTAATGGAACAAATAACAAGGGGAGGGGAGAACGCAGTGGGCTTGTGGCGGACAGCCATCATAACCGGTCTGGTGTCATTGTTCAAGACCTCGCTGCCTCAAGGTCATCCACCCTTTTGCAGTGAGCCGTTCCAGACACGCTGACCTGAAGTCACACGACCGACTGCAGCTCGGGCATACCTGCGGCCGCACAGCCGCAGCTGCCCATGCGGCCACCTGAGCGCACCTCCTCCCCTGCAACCGCAACCTAAGCCACTGGGATACCACCCCCCGGTAAATGCAACACACACTGACTGGACACCACTTGAGCTTGGCCCACGAGCCTACGAAAGCGGCTGCCACCACCATCTCAGGGACTCTCAGGCATGACTGGACGCAGTCAAAGCCAGCCCTGGCTTCGCCAGTGGCCACTGTCACCTGAGAGGACAACTCCGGGTTCTGTGCACAATAAACCCCTCATTTTGGTGTCTTCCGTCTTCTCCCTACAACTTGGGATCTGACTTGATAATTTTAGTTCACAGACTACACACATTCTCACTGCTGTTGTTCACCGTGTCGCAGGGGGGGGGGGGATCGGAATGGCGAAACAGCATACGTCTATGTGGCCGAGTGGGGGTTAACAGCTGTTAGGGTGTGGGAACAAGACAGTGAGTGTGTACGTAAGCCCTCGCAGTGGGCGTCTAGATGTGGCGGTTGATGCTGATCGTGCCAGAATGCCAGGCTTCGAGCCTACCATAACTCGGTGCCCACCCTCTCACGCAGCAGCTGTCTGTTGTTGTCTGTCCTATCGCGGCAGCCGACCTAGTCTGCCGATCTCACTTTCCCCTCTCTTCATTTCGTCTGACGACGGGTCGGTGTCACGTCATGTAGTTGCGGATGCAAGTACATCGGGCGCACGCAAAGGCAATTGGCAGCTCAGTCAGCTGAACACATGCCGAAGTGGCTGCTTAAGGCGGAAAATAAGATACCCAGGAGCTCAATCACAAAGCACCTAGTGGACACGGGCCATACGGTGGACCCAATGGTTGCATTCAAGGTCCTGTTTCGGGCGACGATCGGGCGTCTCTTGCGCTTTGCAAAGGCCGCTGCAATACGGAGGAGGAAACCAGAACTCTGTAAGCTGCTGGACCATGTGATAAACCTGGCACTGCCATGGTAATTATCGATTATGGACGAAACCCTGTTCCCATGTACACCCTCTCATTTCGCCTCCACCCGCTCCCCTCTCCCCGGCATGACTGAATGCTCCCCGCACGTTGCACCCTAAATCACGCCGCACAAGTTCTCTAATACTTGGATGACTTCTCTCCCCCTCCCCCCTCGCCATATGCACCCGCATACTAGACCCATGTTTCAGGTTACCTATCACGTTTTATCTCTCTAGGTCGATCGTTGATTGAACAGTTTGCCTTGTCATATAACTATGCAATGACCGTGTGCAGCTGAATGAGAGGTCTCGAAATTTATGACGTCAGTAAGTACTGCATGCTTTGTCGCCTTTGCCTTGTTCAAATTTATTCCAGGAAAACATTGCTTCATTTTTTAACTGTCAAGGGAGCAGATTCAAAAGAGCAATTAAAAAAACAACGTTAAACTGGCAAAAAAACTAAAGGACAGTGAAACGACCTCGGAGGCAACAGTCTTGTCGAAAAGACCAACGCGATTTGTTGGTCCAGGCGAAATTCCCAAAGGTGAAAATAACAAAACGGATACGTGGCTGACCGTTAAAATGGCAAAAAAAACTAGAGGACAGTGAAACGACCTCGGAGGTGACAGTCTCGTCGTAAAGACCAATGAGGTTTTGTTGGTCCAGGCGAAATTCCCAAGAGTGAAAATAACAAAAAGGGATACGTGAATGACCGTGGTTAGTTCATTTTAACGTCAGTAGCCCTCGTAAAAAAAGCATCAAACTCAACAAATGGATTCAACGAGCTACGAGGGCCAGCGATCGGAAACTACTGAATAATCACCATAAGTTCTCAGTCCATAAACATTTCTAAGCGTCATTGAATGTTGTTACAATTTCTGTCTAGTATTAGCTTTCCGTCAGGTAGACTAATCTCAGCACCAGTAGTGACAAGAAAACGGAGGCCGCTCGACTTGTCACTGATATAAAAGAGGCTGCTGGGTCGCGACTGGCCAGCGGCAGCTGTACTTACTTACTTACTTGATACGGCTGCGATCATGCCTGATCTAGCCGGCCTCGATGATGTCCCGAACTGTACCTCTCCACGCGTGACGATCCGCGGCAGCAGATCTAGACAGCTCAACCCATTGCCTTCGCCAACGACGGAGACCGAATACCGAAGGTCCAAGAACCACCTCCATGTCTCGACGGACAGTGTCGAGCCAGGTTTTGAACTGACCCCCTCTCGACGCCTCCAATGGGGCAACGGTGCCGGATCGAGGGCAGTAACACTGAGCTCCTGAGGTGGACGACGAAGAACATGCCCGAACCACCTCAGTCGTCTTTCTTGGATGGCCTGAGTTATCCTCGCGATGTTGTCGCAGCGAGCGCGGACTATCTCATTTGAGACGAAGTCGGTTAACTTCACTCGAAGGATCATCCACAAGCAGTGGTGGTCAAATACCTCCAGTTTTCGCTCATCCGCCACGCGCAAAGCCCAGCATTCACAACCGTAGAGAAGGACAGACCGGACAGATGCACGGTACACGCGAATCTTAGTGGCGATGGAGAGGTCGCGTCGGTTCCACAGGCATTTCCGAAGGCTTGAAAAAACCCAGCGGGCAGCATCGATTCGGGAAACAATGTCGTCCTTACTCTGTCCATTAGGCAGCAGCCGCGCCCCGAGGTATTAAAAACTGTCCACTTCTTCAAGTTGACAGCCATCAATCCCCAGGGGTGCCTTCTCCTGGTCAGGGATGCAGCTTGAGAATACTTTGGTCTTCCCAGCGTTTATGGACAAACCGACTGATTTAGCGACCTCGTTCACTCGTGACACCATAGACTGCAGATCACCAAAACTTGAAGCAAGTAAGGCGATATCATCGGCATAGTCGAGATCAGTCAGTTGATGTCCGGGTGCAAATTCAACACCGTCACTGTCGCGTAGGGCCCTCCCGAGGATCCAGTCAATAGCGTAGTTGACTGGAAAGACGGCAGCTGTCGCCGTTACTGGCTGGCGCGGTCGTTTTCCTGTGGTAAGGCCTGCAGGTATGTGCAGGGAGGAATGCACTTGCGTGCTTTCGAACCGTAAACACGATGAAACCAGCACATATTTGTAGAGGGGCGTTCACGAGATCTAAAACGACGGCGTGAAGGTGACCGGACTGTAAGCTGTTGATAGCAGTGCGCATTGGACGTACTTGTGTGCACAGTGTCTCTTAGATCGTCATAGTCACCGCGGTGAGGACTGTTCGGTTGTCTTGATGGACCTGATGGCGTGGCGGCTCTGCGTGATGAGCAACGACAGGCTGACCGCTCCACACAAGTGTCCAGTGAAGGAGTGCCTTCTGGACAGGAAATGGCTACTCTATCAGATCTGTCGGGAGCCGAGGTCAGTTGAGTATTGGCGCATGTCGCGCCGACTGGGTAACATTCACTGATCGGGTCGGCATGAGTGGCCATTTTGTCTAGAGAGATACTGATGTCCAGCGTGGCCAAAACCTGCTGCATGGGAACCGGCAATTTATGTAACCAGATTTGTCGAAAGACGACGTTGTCCATATGACGACCAGCCAGAAATGAACGCATATGGCGCATAAGCTGCGAAGGAGTTTGATCACCCAGGTCTACCTGCGTAAATAACTCTCGTAGTATCCGATTGGCCGACTTAGCCACTCTCTGGATGACGGCATTCTTTAACTGGGTGTACGGGTCGTTGGCAGGAATAAGGTTGAGGAGGTCGTCGACATCGACGGCAACGTCGAAGGGAAGACTCTGCACCACATGAGAGTATCGGGTGCGTTCGCTTGTAATGCGGCTCGTAGAGAAAACGGCCTCAACCTGACGAAACCAAGCCCAGAGGTTGCTCGGTGTAAAGGGCCAGGCTCGCGAAAAGTGAAGTCCCCTTCAATACCAGGTTGTTATAGAAAATGAGTGTCCTTTTGGGTACTTCTCCAAAGTCCCGAGCTGGTCTTGGTTGATGGTGCTTTTCGCCTGTAATGCCACTGGAGCCTGATGCACATAGACAATTCCGCGAACTCTCGACAAAATTCTAGACGAACTTCTGGAAGCCGTCCCAATGCCCTAGCCCCCAGGAAGGACGACTTTTTGCGACTCTGCACTGACTATCGTGGCTTGCACGCAGTCACAGTCTGTGACCCGTTCTCTTTACCTCGGTTAAATGAAGCCTTCCATATCCTGAGAAACACGACGTGGTTTTCTACTTTCGTCGAAAGCGAAACGAGGTAAGGGGGGCTATCCGCAGGTCGCGGAAGGAGTACGAAATGCGAGTTATGGAACGGGCCGTCGATAAGCCAAAAGTGCTCTTCAGTTACATAAACAGAAGGTTAAAGAACAAGGAGACGGTCGCAGTGTTGAACGGAGAAAACAATGAGGATATCATCGAAAATGACGCTAAGGCAGAAAATATAAGCCGGTTTTTCGTATCGGTTTTCACCGATGAAACGGACTTTGACGAGGCTGGATCTCCTGCTGGGACAACCGACGAAATAATAGAAAACATCGACTTCACGGAAGAAGCTGTGAGGAAGGAACTTCTAGCGCTTAAGGAAGGCTAGTCTCCGGGCATAGGCCAAATTCCGGCAAAAGTGCTGAAGGAGTTGTCTTGCGAACTCGCCAAACCGCTTTGGCACATCTTTAGGTCCTCCTTTGACCGAGGCATTCTCCCCTCTGATTGGAAAGTGGCGAACATATACCCCATTCACAAGGGCGGATACAGAACAAGTACAAACAATTATCGGCCGGTGAGCCTAACGTGCATTTGTTGCAAAGTCATGGAGAGAATAGTCAAAAAATCCATAATGAAGTTCCTTGAAGAAAATAATTTCTTTGCTAGTTCTCAGCATGGCTTTCGACGAAATCACTCCTGCCTAACTAATATGCTTCATTCAACGGAACAGTGGTCTCGCTCGTTAGACGCAGGAACAAAGGTCGATATCGTTTACATAGATTTCAAGAAAGCCTTTGATAGTGTTCCACACCACCGGTTACTTTACAAGGTCCGAGAGTCAGGGATAAGGGGAAACCTATTAAACTGGGTAAAGGACTTTCTGACTGGTCGATCACAGTCTGTGTGTATTGGTAGTGCGAAGTCAACACCAGTGCCAGTTGTGAGTGGAGTTCCGCAGGCCTCCGTACTCGGACCAGTTCTATTTTTAATTTATGTCAACGACTGTATGAATGGACTGGACTGCAATGGAGTCATGTTTGCTGATGACATCAAGTTATGGCGAGCGATCAACGGCGAACAGGATGAACGGGCCCTGCAAGAAGGACTGAACCGCCTATGCGAATGGTCTGACAAATGGCTGCTAAAGTTTAACCTAGAGAAGTGCGTCGCGCTGCGACTCAAAACGACTGGAAGATCTGACGGAGAGGATCACCATTACCAACTTGGTGGAAGGTGCCTTTCAAATGTAACCGAACAAAAAGATCTTGGGATTAACATTCTGTCGACCCTTAAGCCTTCATCTCAGTGTGTTAGGGCGTCCAAAAGAGCAACTAGTGTTCTCTTTGCCATTAAACGATCTTTCGTGGACATAGACAAAGAGTTATTTGGAAAAGTATACGGAGCGTTCATTCGCTCGCATCTGGAATATGGAATCCAAGCGTGGCGCCCGTGACTAAAAAAGACAATAAGTTGCTAGAAAGAGTTCAGAGGAGAGCAACAAAAATTGTAAAAGGCCTCAGGACTTTACCTTACAACTGCCGACTTAGGGAACTTAAACTTTTTCCTCTTGAGTACAGGCAGGTTCGAGGAGATCTCATACAGGCCTATCGGATATCGAGGAACCGGGAATGTGCCCTAAACCCCGACGATTTCTTCACCTTGGCCACAACAAAAAACCTGCGTGGGAACTCTCTAAAACTTAGAGGATCCCGATGCCGCCGGGACGTTCGCAAATACTGTTTTTCACAGCGAGTCGTCGGTGCCTGGAACGGCCTTCCCGAGGACGTAATAATGGCGGATACCACGGAGACGTTCAAGCAAAGACTTGATGGATATTTGCTTGGACACTATCGCTTGTCTGGACAGAACAGCTCTGTGGTGCTAAACCAACGCCTTGCATACTCATACCGCTAATGCGGATGACTGTCATTACATTTTACTGAAATCATCTACAACTGAATGTTCTCAAGTTCTGGTTCTACATTTTCATGGAAAATATTTTGTTAAGTGTGTATATTACTGACAACATTTCAGTACCATGTTTATTTATAGTTAAATATTGCATGTACCGTTTACAATAGGGTTTTCAAAGGCATTGCCTACTACTCTTAAAATATACTGACCTAGATCTTACATCAGGGTTTTGGCAGGTCGAAATGTACCCGAAAGAACGCCGCAAAACAAGCTTTAGATGCTCCCATTCGAGCTCCGCAGTGCTGCCGTCACCGCTGTTCAGCGGCTGATGTATCAGGTGTAACAACACCTCATCCCCAGCAAATATCAGACAACCACACCAACACCGAAGCTCTTCGTGATGCCGGCCCGACGTTGAATCCCCGTTAATGCGTCTTCCTGCGCTCAGAGGTACAGTCTCTGGAGCATAAAATGTTGATCTCCCCAAACGGCTGCAACAAATCAGCACCTATTCAATCCCGATAAGTCGGTCACAAATCTGTAGCTTCCTCGGACTGGCCTACTGCCGACGACTTTGTCCATATAGCCGGCCCTCTACACAAACTCCCGGAAAAAGGCTGCGAATTCGGGTGGCCTCCTAACTGCGAGGAGCCTTGTACCAACCAACCGCAGAGCCACCCTTAGGTCATTCCCGCTCCTTTTTCTTCCTTCACATGGACGCTAACGGGTTTGCCATAGGGGCAGATAATGACAGGGTCGGACAGTCAGTAAGCTTTGCAAGAGCCTGTTGTACTTTCCGCAGGAAGTTACTTGCGATCATTCTATGTATCTGTCAGTTTAGTCACCAACTTATCGGACGACATTTTATCCTTCGCACCGACCATCAGGCACTTCAGTGGGTGCAATCCATAAAAGACCCCCAGGACCAACTCGCCCGATGGCAGGAATTTTTACAAGACTTCGATTTCGAATGTCAATACCGTCCGGGTCATAAACACGGAGGTGTAGACGCCTTCTCACCAGACTCGGACAGCTATACCGCGTCGGTCGGCACGATTACGATGCCTGGACCCACCCGTCCCACTTAGTTCTCGGCTCAAAGGAACGAGCCACAGCCACCACGTATAACCAAACACCAATAAACCTACTGACGCGGACATGAAAGGAGCCAGGCAAAACGTCCACCCCCTCATACACCAGCGGTCGCACTTTCTCATCGACAACGATATCTTGTTCTTTCGTAACTCCTCATTGAAACAACTTCGTCCAGTAGTACCTGGATGCTTGGTTGACACCGTGCTGCATCACCTTCCCACTCAGAATTAGGCTATTACGGAAAACGACGCGCAGAGCTGGCGGCGTGCGCATGCTTTTGGCCTCATCCATGCGACGACCAACATGCAAGGAACGCATATGCCGTATGAGTTGTAAAGACATCTGACTTCCAAGATCAACTTGGGTGAAAAGCTCTCGCAACATGCTGCTTGCTGATTGAGCCACACGTCTGACTACAGTCACTTTCAGCTGGGATAGGAGTTAGATCTTCGACGTGGACGGTGACATTGAAAGGAAGTGACTGCACCACATATGAATAACGCGTGCGTTCGCTGATTATGCGGCGCGAAAAGAAAACGACTTCAAGCTGCCTGAACCAGACGGGTAGATTGCTGTGAGTGAACGAGAGTAGTTTCACGGAAAGGAAATCGACGTCCAAGGGATCAGGGTTTGTGTCATTATCAGTCATGAAACGCGGTCACCCACTACGAGCATAGGAAAGTCCAACGAGGACTGAAATAATAAATTTACATAGATCAGGAATTTATTTCCGGGCACAGACAACTCGCTGCGAGAAGAAGCACCGACGAATATCCAGGTGCAATCCTCGCGTTTGGTTCAGGCAGATCGAGGCTCTTTTTGCGACAAGCCGCATTACTAGCGAGCGTACCCGCTATTCGTACGTTTTGCAGTCCCTCCTATTGGATGTAGCTGTCACCGTCGAAGACCTCCTTGACCCCATTCCAGCCGACGCGGCTGAAGGAGGCGGTAATCCAACGGGTGGCTAAATCGGCCAACCTTATGCTGCGGGAACTTTTCACGCAAGCAGAGCTAGGTGATCAGACACCTTCCCAGCTCATGCATCACATGCGCTCACTTCTCGGTGGTAGGCACATGGACGACGCCATTTTTCGCGAGATTTGGTTAGAAAAGTTACCGGTGCCAATGGAACAGGTTTTGGCTATGTTGGACTCGAATACACCCTTAGAGAAGCTAGCTACCCATGCTGACAGAATCAAAGAATGTTACCCCATTGGTGCCTCGTTTTCCAATATTCAACAGCCCCCGCCTTCCAAAGGCAAGCCCCATCAGGGCACTGACTTTGATTCAATAGGCCCAGCATTATCAGAGCACGACACTCCCTATACGGAAAAAGCACCATGCTGTTGCACAATCCGACGAGCGCCCACATCAGCCGGTCCTCCCAGAACATCCACCGACGCTTATCGCACCGATTACGACGACCTAAGAGACACTGTGCGCCTCCTTTGCACTCAGGTGAGAAACGTGTGCTCTGCTCTTAACAGTCTTCAAGCGGCTAGAAAACAGCTATACTCACATCGTCGGTCTAAATCCCATGAGCGGCGTTCACAACCATTATGTTGGTATCATCGCACTTATGGCCCGAAAGTGCACACCTCCTTGTTTGTTCGCTCGTCTTTCACAGTTAAACGACGCCAGCCAGTAATGGCGACGACTGCTGCTGGCCCGTCGCGACCCAGTCGACTTTTCTATACCAACGACAAGTCGAGCGGCTTCCGTTTCCTTGTTGATACCGGTGCCGAGGTCAGTGTCATCCCACCTCTAAGGCGTCACCGCCTCAAGCTTTCGCAATTCTCATTGCAGGCTGCAAACAGCACCACAATCAGCACCTACGGCCAACGGTCCCTCACTTTAGATCTTGGGCTCCGGCGACGTTTCCAATGGGTCTTTATTGAGGCTGACGTCAAATCGCCCATTATCGGGGCCGACTTTTTGTCATCTTTCGGCTTAACAGTCGTTGTCAGACACCGTCGCCTCACAGACACAACCACCCAACTCTTTACCATAGGTATCATTAGCTCTGAACGTTCGGTTGGCATTCGTCTAACCATCCCCAGCACCCCTTTCGCTGACATTTTGAAGGACTACCCGTCCATCACTAAACCATGTCATTTTACCAAAACCGTTCAACACGGAGTTAAACACCACATTGTCACGGCAGGGCAACCTGTGCACGCTCGTCCGCGTAGACACCACCCTGAGAAGCTCCGAATAGCAAAGAACGAATTTGAACATATGATGAATCTGGGCATTATACGCCCTTCATCTAGCCCATGGGCCTCACCACTGCACATGGTGCCACGTTTCCAGTACACGTCTACTACTCTGCAACTTCCAGATGCACCGCTCCCTGCATCACCAGTTATAAGTTTGTGCGACTGGTCCACACGTACTCTCCGCCCTCTTGTTCCACTGTCCTACCGTAAGGTGGTGTTCAACCATCTCCATTCCCTATCGCACCCCAGCATCCGTGCTGGTCGGTTTATCTGGCTGCAGATTAATTCTGACACTGTTCTTCGGACTAAGCAATGCTTAGCGTGCTAGAAAAACGAAGTCCACCGCAGCACCTCTTCAACGAGCACATTTTTGGTTCCAGACATTCTACACCATTGCGTTCACGTGGACTTAGTTGGACAGTTATCCCCTTTACGAGGGCAAAGGCATATATTGAAAGCAGTTGATCGTTTCACACGATGGCCGATTGTCATTCCTGTTTCGGATGCCTCAGCAGAAAATATTGTCATGATGTTACTGACTCAATGTATTTCCACATTTGGTGTGTCCGCCATCATTACTACTGATCGCGGAGACACAACTTCCAAACTGACGTATCACCCATTGTCTCTGTCGCAACGGCCCTCTGCTTATTCTGAATCCAGTTCCTCGTGAGCCAAAAACGTTGTCCTCAAAAATCTTGCCGTTCGAAGATTGTTTGAACTTGGACATCATGTGAGACAAAGGCGTTAAGTGGAAACCCGTAAATCATACGACTAGAGAAGAACACGGCCACAATGGCAACGGAGGAACTGTCACGGAAGGAGTGGAGTACGATGGGATTTATGCTCCTACCAGACACAGCATTATGTTTAATGTTCATGTTTCCGTCACGTCCATAGGACATTTGACTTGTAGTACACTAAATCTGCACAGGCAAGTGGACGAGAATCCTATTTGGGTAAATTTTAAGAAAGGAATGACGGCCATAATAGGTCAGGATTAGTAATAACATTCAATGACGCGAAATGTTTATAAAATGTGACATTACGATGATTATCCGATATATTTCCGTTAAATCCAATCCACAGTTATAATACTGTTTTTACGACTGACACCGACGTTAAAATTGGATGCGCACAGTCAATCGCACGCCCACAAAGTTATTTTCACGACCAAAGGACACGCCTTGGCCACCGATTGGCTCTGCAAAGAACGGGCCGTACCTTATGTTTCACGTTTGAATTTCAGCCTAGTAAAACTGTCCGTGACTTGTTCAGTTCGGGTATTGATCACAGGCCAAGGAACACATTAATTCGTCGGTGTCAGCGTACTTTACTTATTTACGACAATGCTCCCGAACTTCTTTTAATAAATTGATTCGCTGATTAAAATAAGCTGATTAAAGTTGATTACATCGTCCCATTGACCTAGTACCGCAGACACATCCTTAAATGCATCGAATCACCTGTAGGTTTACATACATTTTCGATTTTCTACTGTGAGCTTTCTTGTTCACTTGAACTTTTGTGTCTGCTGTTTAAATTTGTCAAAAAACACACCTGGTTTAGGCTTGAGAAAAAGAGTGTCATGTGCGTCCGCCTGCTGCTTCGTGTCATTGTTTCTTTGGTTGTACCCATGCGCCTCAATCACTTCTAGTCGATCGGCACGAAACATTTACAACTTAAGTTCATATCTAACCGGACGTGAATTTACTTGAGCAACAAGCTATAGTAACTGAGTTTGGCTCGGGATCTTTTGGAATATATCCAGTACATCCACTCTAGGACAACCGATTCTGGCGAGGGCTTCATTTTTCATGAGTACGTACAATTAATTGCCTTTTGTCGTTTTCCGGCAACAAATCATAAACCGGAACTAGTCGAAACTTTCGTACGACAAGATGCCTCACTTTGTCACGCCGAACGTTGACACCCACAGACTCCCTTCTGTTTTCCCTAATCTTTTATCCTGAGATCGCCTACATTTATGGGCTGCTAGATTTTGTCCATCCTGTAACTACCTGGAGGTTAAAGGATTAACCATAAAGTACGCAAAAACCTGTAGACCCGATGAAGAATCGACATAGATTTAAGTTGGATCTGAGAACTGTGAGGTACTAACAACAGTTAAAACTACAATGGCACAATAGATCCAGGAAAAACTTAAATCACGGTAGGGGACGTTGCGTTCAATACAAAAAGCGACAGCGAAACAGTGTAGAAAAAACGGCAAAGCTAATTACTTGTACGCACCCCCGAAAATGAGGTCCTCTCCAATGTCAACTGTTGTAGCGTGAAGAGTGTTTTGGGCAAAGCCCAGAAAGTTCCAAGCTGAATTCGGTTGGTAGAGCTTATTGGTCCAGTAAATTCACGTCCGACGAGATACGACCAAGGAATGAGAACTAATCACGGCAAATGGTTAAAAAGGACCGAGTCACCTTGGAGTAATCATTGAGCATGCAACATGCGAACTCAGGACACGTGTTCTCGGACGGTGAGACCAGTTGTTATATGTATTTTGGTGTACTCACACATTAATACAGGAAATTTCGAACGTGCAAGAAAACGTGAAAATAGAAATCGAAAATGTACATAGACTCATGACTGTCCTCGGACATATTTTCTCTTCGGATTGTCTTCGTATTTGGACGTCACCGGCTGACTGAATTTGAGTCGTACGAGGCAGATTTGTCCCTACGAAACAGTCCTTTTATACTACCTTCCAACTGTAGCGGACATCGGGCCCCGTATATTTAGTGAGACACTCATTCCCTGTTGTTTGCACGCCACTACAGACATGGTATTCAGAGAGCAACTCCGTCAACAGGCATCTTGCCCTACCTCGGATCGTATAGTCTTTCGTCACCACGTCCTCAAAAGACAGGACAAGGTGAGGGCATCGACCTTGCTGAAACCGAGCAGACGTCGATCGGCGCCGAGTTCACTCGATAGGGGATCAAAGGAGTCATCATACCGATAAACCCCGCAGAGGGTCAGCCACTGTTCATCGAGGTGATGACTCGTAACGTCGACAGCTATCAAGCCGCAGAGTATCTTTCAAGGGCTCGAAGCGACAAAGTAAGCAGAAGTCAACAAGCTCAAGGTCGACTAACTCGATAAGTCATTTTCATCTCTGCTCGAATTTGTGTATTTTGTGCTTTGTCAAAGGCAACTCGTGCAGCAAGCCTTAGTGATGTGGAAGAGCAGACAACTGGAAGAAAGGATTTAAAAACAAAATTTGAGGATTTTTTAGGAATAGGAGTGATTATTACTGTACACCAGGCGCTATGAATCTTGGACCCCATGAAAGAGAGTTTAGGAAGGCGCGTTAAAGCAGGAGCTATCTGAGAAGAGGAGACACCATCCGGTCCGGCAGCGGTTGGTCCGCGGATCTTCTTGAGGTGTTTCTCTACTGTTGCCACAGATAAAGGTGAGAAGACACATGCTAGTAGGGAAGTATCGTTTGAAGGAAGACAGGAGTCATTGTGACTGGAAATAAAGTTTTGTTTAAAGAGTCTAAATCAGCACCCAAATGTGCATGTGTGCTATAATGGTGAGTGAGATGCCTTAGATTTATCTAAATTTCAGAAGAGGAAGGAGGAAAAGAAGGGGAGGAAGATGGGGCAAAAGGCTGACTAACAAACATTCTATCTAGTCTGACAGTATGTTCTCTTGTTACAATGGTAACGTCCTAAGGACTGCCACGTAAGCCTAGCTTGCACAGGAATTCTTTTTGCGTCTCTATAATCTTAGATGTGGAGAAGAAATTCTATCTAGTCTTATCATAATAGTGTCAAGTAGACAGCAAATGTCAACAATTTCGTTGAAACGTTGCAAGATGGCTAGAGCACGATACAACTGTCGATTGTATAAGGAAAGTAGGGATAGTGTAAGATATACAAGCTTGAAGTAGGCAGATGTTTTGGGGGGACGTGTTGCGTACCCTAATCTGTCACACAGGCCTGGTTAACAGAGCACGTGTAGGGGTGATGTAGATTTTTTGAAGACCCGATGACATAGAATGATCCGATCCTGACAACGGAATTCTAATCTTATTACAACAAATCTTGGATTTGTTGGTTAAAATGTGATCAAGAGGGGCATCAGGCGAGTATTGGAGGATAGAAGGTCATAAAAGCCTAAAAAAGTGAAGGGACGTAGGTTGTAGTATGAGCGGTAACTTAAACTACACAGAAAAGTAGATGCAGGAAAAACTTAACTCTAAGTGGCGGACGCCGAGTTTCTAACAAATAAAACGATAGCAAAAAGGAAATTTAATAAACGACATAGGTAAATAATTTTATAGACCTAGGAAAAATGAAGCCCTCTCCATAAACCAGTTGTTTCAGCGTGAATGCTCTGGAAAAGTTCCAGAAGTTTCCGAGCTACAGTCAGTCAATGGAGTTTGTTGCCAGGGTAAATTAACGTCAGGCAAAATATGACCGAGAAATAAAAGTGTATTGTGACAACTGATACGAGCGCAATCAATAGAGCAATGATACACCGCAACAGACAGGCACAAAGCACGCGTTGACGCAAGCCGAACAAAAAGTCCAGGTGTACAAGAAAATGTAAAGTGGAAAATCGAAAATGTACGCAAACCTATACAACTCCCCCACCAAAGCGTTTGTTGTACAAAAAAGCACTCGATAAATATGCAAAAAGTTACACCACAAAGCCTCTTAGTTTGGCAGGAAAATGGTAATGTCTACCAGAACGAGATAAGGTGCGCGATGGAGTAGAAGGAGAATCAGGATCGGTAGGTGGGGTAGTCGAGTGTGGGGGTTGTGTGAAGGAGACCGAAATGGGTAGATCGGGTGAGGACAATGGAGGGAAATTGGATGGCGCAACGGGGGGGGGGGACGAGGTGCACTCAAGATAGACTGCCTTAAGTCTGTCAATAGAGACTGTGTCAGTCTAGTAAAACTTCTGTATGACATACAACTTGTCCATCTGCGTTAAAGAACCTTGTACGGAGCATCGTTCGGGGAACAAAGTGGCTTGCGGACCGCGTCATGCCGAACACAAACGAATGGCGCAGGTCTAAGGTCCTCATGCACAAACACACGTTTAGATGCTAGACGAGAGGAAGTTGGGCGCAGTGGAGTCCTGCGTTGCTTCAACGGAGGTGCCCGACATGTGAAAGACTGTACAAATTCGCCAGACAGGCGGAGGGGTGTACCGTACTCAAGTTCGGCAGCAGTGCACTGGAAGCCCAGAAGTACAAAAGGGAGAGTATCGTTTCAAGTAGCTAATTCTAAGTGGGACATTAGCGCAGAATTGAGTTGACGGCGTGGGCGCTCCACGAGGCCGTTGGAGGCAGGATGA